TGTTTGTTTTTGTTCAAGACACTAATCACTGTTCTCCCTAACGAAGATAATTTCTAAAATGTACATGCCAAGTTGTAGTTTAGGGCCTGAAAACATTGGAAAATGACCATGCATCAAATAAAATACTCTTTGTATGACAGGCCAACCATATTAAAAAAATGGAATTATGATTCCCTTGTAATAAGTAGATGGAAGCCCCCGGTCTCCACTGACAGAACCACTTAAATCTACTTTGCCCAAATATTTAACACAATCAGGCACAATTCCCAAAGCAAGTTTTCACTTTAGATCAGGGGTGCCCAACCTTGGCAACTTTTAAGATTTGTGGACTTCAATTCACAGAATTCCCCAGCCAGCCATACTGGCTGGGGAATTCTGGACATTGAAGTTCATAAGTCTTAATTAAAAAATGCCAAGGTTGCACACTCCTGCTTTAGATTGCTGTCGTTGAACGTAACATGGTATCACTGTTACTAAATTATTAGTACCTAATGGGCATATTGGAGTTGCTGAGAATATTAACTTATTAATTCAAAGAGCAAGGATACATGGTTTGAGGAGAGGTCAAAAGACAGCAGAGAATGGAACAAAGCTAGAATGATCTCTTAGGGAATAATAAAAATTTGAGGAATATCAATTAAAGCTTACAAAACTGAAATTACTAGATCATCAAAGATCATAGAAGACTTCAACGGAGATGAAACTGAGAGGTAAAATCCAAGCAAGAGCTACAGTTGCCAATTAATAGTTGTTTGGAATGCCTTGTTTGATCCAACTTTTCTGATTTTCAATCTCCCCTGAGTAACCAGAAGAAATAGCAAGAGAAAGAACTCGCTGAAAGTTCCCTGTTAAAATAGTTACTACTCTCCTTCTTCCTGACAGGGTTACTTGCAGACATGGAGTAAATTAAAATAATCCTCTTTATTCAGGGTGTGCAAACCAATTCCAGCTAGAATCCATCCAGTGGCCATATTGGACTAGTCAGAACTTGGCCAAATACAACATGCTATATTGTCCATTTACTTCTCCATCCCATTCCTATACCTCCAAGAGAACTTCAAGTTTCTGTTTGAAGAACAAGAACTTTCTCCAGATGCACCTTCTTCCGCCCAAGAGCCTATAAATAGGATTGTTCTTTCCTCATGCTTCATGCCAAGCCCTTTCTCAGTCATGGATGCTCCACCTGGGCAATTCTCTGGATTCAATTCCAAAAAGCGGCTTAGAAATAAGAACAATAAACCTGTCAACAACTGTTTTAGAGCAGGAATGTCTGGGTCGAGGATAGCTGCAGAAGAGGTTCATATCATCTCAAGAAAAAGATGTGGCTGCTTTAAAGAGTTGTCAACAAGTGTTATGTTCGTGTTTTGGGTTGCTTCAAAGCAGCTTTTCCAAATTATTTCCAGAGCACTGCACTGTCCTAATTAACACAGATCCAATTAATACTTCTCAATAAATTATTCCCTTTTACTGCCAACTACATCCTTCAAGGAGCTACCTTCTAAACAAAGAGGCTGAATTGCCTAAATCTATTGTCTGTGTTTTAGAGAGGAATTAAACCAGTTTCTCGTATCACAAGAAAAATTCTGCCTACTCAATACCGGTACGACTCAGTAAGAATTTGAACAATGAAAATGAAACAGCTACTGTTAATACACACAACTTTAGTTATTTGGAATAACTTTTATTGTCCTGGGGTAATTGTAAGACTAGGATATTATATCAAGCAGACGTAATATCCTAAATTAAAAAAAATAGAGATTTCTTTGAAGCACACCTGCCAGCTATGTAAGAAACACATCCTGAGTTATTCCTCATGTAGAAGTATGTCCTTGGGATGAAGAACATTCCTCAATTTGAATAAACAGAGCAGATCCACATTAGCAGAAGATCAAATACTTCCAAACACCTGCTGATGGAACTGCAGCAGTTGTTGAATTAAAATTGGCCCTAAGACGGTTCTCTACGCTTTATTCTTCACCTGTCACCTTTTACAAATTTTAACACACCACAGCAATTTGGTAAGTGCCTTCCCTCTTGTCTAAAATACGGCATGGATTTGTGTACGTGTGAGGCCTGTCCGTGCTTCGGTGTGATTTTAAATAAATGCTTCAGCCCTTGCATCTACTAATACTAATACCTAAAGCAGCCAGGGGCATTTGTGAAG